AATTGTTCAGAATGTTTCGGCATTCTCATGTTTCTTTCTTTGTATGTATTGGTATGACACAAGAAAAAGTGGAGAAGCATAAAGCCAAATCTGACGCGTTCCATGTGCCTGTTCCTGTACTCGGTGTAGCAGAGCGCCGCTTCCCTCTCCCTGTCGCTGGTTGACACTGTTGGCTTCACAGTCGATAGCCTCCTAGCACCAAGTGATGCTGTAGTGGGTGGGGCCTAATGGGGAATCTGGGACACTAGTTCCCCATCAGATCTGCTGTCGCCTTGTAACTGACAGGGGTGGCTTCTATATCCATTGGCAGGTATGATGTCCATGTGCTGAGGTACACTGCCAGGCTATTCACAATGAAGGGGCTGCCTTACCGCAACTGCCAGCACCATCTAGTGGTCATAATGTGGAGTTTTCTTGAAACACTTCAATCAGGAAAATACTGCATTATGGACACTAGATGGAGCTGATGATCATAGAAAAAAAACATATTGCACACATTATGGTGATTATCCATTGCAGCTGTGAAATGCTTCAGACATTTTGCACAGTAATTAGAAAAAATAGACCCCTCTCCTTACCAAAATAATTATCAGTATTTTTTGCTGACTTTTATAAAGAAATAAATATTTCTATGTGCGATCACCCATAATCCACCTAACAGTCTCTTCTATTTCTCATAGACTATATCGGTGAGATCCCTGTGCTGAGTTCCCGGGTCTGCACGCCCGCTGTGCCCATTATGAGGGGTTCCCGCCATCCCTGTGCTGAGTTCCCGGGTCTGTACACCCGCTGTGCCCATTATGAGGGGTTCCCGCCATCCCTGTGCTGAGTTCCCGGGTCTGTACACCCGCTGTGCCCATTATGAGGGGTTCCCGCCATCCCTGTGCTGAGTTCCCGGGTCTGTACACCCGCTGTGCCCATTATGAGGGGTTCCCGCCATCCCTGTGCTGAGTTCCCGGGTCTGTACACCCGCTGTGCCCATTATGAGGGGTTCCCGCCATCCCTGTGCTGAGTTCCCGGGTCTGTACACCCGCTGTGCCCATTATGAGGGGTTCCCGCCATTCCTGTGCTGAGTTCCCAAGTCTGTACACCCGCTGTGCCCATTATTAGGGGTTCCCACCATCCCTGTGCTGAGTTCCCGGGTCTGTACACCCGCTGTGCCCATTATGAGGGGTTCCCACCATCCCTGTGCTGAGTTCCCGGGTCTGTACACCCGCTGTGCCCATTATAAGGGGTTCCCACCATCCCTGTGCTGAGTTCCCAGGTCTGTATACCTGCTGTGCCCATTATGAGGGGTTCCCACCATCCTTGCTATAGCATGTAAGGGGAATAAATTGTGTCAAATGAGAATGCAGATATCTCTCCCCGCTTCCAGTACCCCTCATGTACGGCGGTCACATTCTGCTGTTCTACATTCCGTAGATCTCGTCCACAGCGGGAACATTCCTCACTAACCACTGCCAGACCACATTAGTTGTGAGATTGGATCTGAAACAAATTGTCTCCTGAGAGAGTCTGATTGTATAATGAGGATCAGAAGTGGAAGACGCTTTCCTCCCTGAGAGGTTGTCTCATCACATTTCATTCCTCCGTCTCCACTCATCGTTCACAGACACAGAAATCTCCATATTGTGACTCCATGATTACTATATTATACTTCAGTCTGGCACAGGTGTACCGGCTCCTCCCCTTCAGTCTTGCACAGGTGTTACGGCTCCTCCCCTTCAGTCTTGCACAGGTGTACCGGCTCCTCCCCTTCAGTCTTGCACAGGTGTACCTGCTCCTCCACTTCAGTCTTGCACAGGTTTATCAGCTCCTCCCCTTCAGTCTTGCACAGGTGTACCGGCTCCTCCCCTTCAATCTTGCACCTACCTGCCCCTCCCCTTCAGTCTTGCACAGGTGTAACGGGTCCTCCCCTTCAGTCTTACACAGGTGTACCTGCTCCTCCCCTTCAGTCTTGCACAGGTGTACCGGCTCCTCCCCTTCAGTCTTGCACGTACCGGCTCCTCCCCTTCAGTCTTGCACAGGTGTACCGGCTCCTCCCCTTCAATCTTGCACGTACCTGCCCCTCCCCTTCAGTCTTGCACAGGTGTAATGGCTCCTCCCCTTCAGTCTTGCACGGGTGTACCAGCTCCTCCCCTTCAGTCTTGCACAGGTGTACCGGCTCCTCCCCTTCAGTCTTGCACAGTTGTACCGGCTCCTCCCCTTCAGTCTTGCACAGTTGTACTGGCCCCTCCCCTTCAGTCTTGCACAGTTGTACTGGCTCCTCCCCTTCAGTCTTGCACAGGTGTACCTGCTCCTCCCCTTCAGTCTTGCACGGTGTACCAGCTCCTCCCCTTCAGTCTTGCACAGGTGTACCGGCTCCTCCCCTTCAGTCTTGCACAGTTGTACCGGCTCCTCCCCTTCAGTCTTGCACAGTTGTACTGGCCCCTCCCCTTCAGTCTTGCACAGTTGTACTGGCTCCTCCCCTTCAGTCTTGCACAGGTGTACCTGCTCCTCCCCTTCAGTCTTGCACGGGTGTACTGGCTCCTCCCCTTCAGGTGTACCGTCTCCTCTCCTGGACTGAAACGGCTTCCTCTGATGTCACTGCACACTGGGAGCTTCTCACAATGTGCATTAGAAGCTGCAGCAAGATAGAGCTCCGCCTCTGGCATCATCTATCTCTTTCCTCCCCAGCCTGACTGTCCCTGGCCCCACCCCTTTCATTCATTGTCATTCAGTTATTTCAATGATCACACTTGGATGTTACCAGCCTGCCTAGGAACATCCCCCCTCCCCCCACCTCCAGACTGACATTTTGATATGTGCCTAATTCCTCTCACTGCTTGTATCAGGACTGAGGGCGCCTGAGGGGAGTATTGAGGCAGGAATCTATGTACTGCACCCTGCTGGCCCCTCCCACCAGCCATGATCTGCCTGCATTGCATAGAGAAGAACAAACACCCAGAGACGATGTCACTGGGATCCAAAATATAGTATGTGATGAAAACAGGAAGATTGATGACCAGGAAAGGAAAAATATAATCAGTTTAAACTTCAGCTTCAGACAATTGCGCGGTCATGCAACACTGCACCCATATGAAATCTGTATCTTTTTTTTTTTTTTTCATACAAATAGAGCCTTGTTTTGGTGGTACTTAATCACCACTGGGGGGGGGGTTCTATTTTTTGCTATAGAAATCAAAAAAATATTTTCTTAGCTTTTATTATAAAATACTGCAAACAGGTAAATTTTCTCCTTCACCGATGTGCGCTGATGGGGCAGCACTGAAAGGCAGCTCTGATGGGCACTGATAGGCTGAACCAATGAGGTAGCACTGGTGGGCATTTATGGGGGGGCACTGATGAGACTGAACTGATATGCAGCACTCATGGGCACTGATAGGCTGAACCAATGAGTCAGCACTTGTGGGAATTGATGAGGCTGCACTGATATACGGCACTGATAGGCAGCAATGGTGGGCACTGACAGGTGGCACTAATGGGTACTAATAGGCAGCACTGAAGGGCACAAATAGGCAGCATTGAAGGGAACTGACTGGTAGCACTGATGGGCAATGATTGGCAGCACTGATGGGCACAGATTGGTGGCACTCATGAGCACAGTTTGGCAGCACTGATGGGCACAAATTGGTGGCACTGAAGGGCACTAATAGGAGACACTGATAGGTGGCACTGATTGGCAGCACTGATGGGTCCTTACTGGCAGCACTGATGGGCACCGATTGGCAGTACTGCTGGGCACTGATTGGCAATGATAGGCAGCACTGATAGGCACTGTAGGGGCTGCACTGATAATCAGTGCCCGGAATATCAGTGTAGATGTCTCCTTTCACAATTGCAGGTTATCAGCAGTACTGACAGTGTCAGCAGTATCGGCAGTGCTGCTGATAATCTGCAAATGCGTTTACATCGTGATCAGCTGTGATCAGACGGGGCTGATCACGTGGTAAACGCTCGCTGTGATTGGCCCTTTACCATGACATGTGATCAGATGCAATCGCAGAGAGTGCTAGGTGTGCGGGGGGGGGGTGGGTTAGGGGGGGTGCCGTTTCTGGAGTGATGTTGATAAACGGCAGCCATTTTTTTTTACTAGCTGGTAGTAAGGTAGCCTTTTGCACCCCCCCCCCCCACCGGCCGCTGAAGATTTACTGCCGCAGGGTGGCACAAGCCAGGCTCAGTCATGTGTCTTTGCCGGCCTGCTCTGTGATTGGACACAGAGCGATTTTGTCAACAGGTTTCAGCCAATGATTTCAGCTGAAACCTGTCCAATCACAGCCCACAGTCCTGTGTGGACAAACAACACAGGACTGTCTGTCAACAGAGGAACGATCTTGCTGTTTCTTCTCCCTGAAAAGCAGGGAGAAAAAAAAACAGCAAGACTGCAAATAAAAGCAGCGAATATCACACAAAGGGCTGCTGTTAGAAACCATGGGGCCCCATACAGCCACGCTGACAGGGCCCCCCCCCCCAAAAAAAAACACTGTTTACTATGCTTCAGTTATGAATGAACACAGTGAGTGACTGGTACAGTGTTCATTCAGGTAAGGAAGGGGCTGGTAAATGTGACATATTTACTGGACCCTTCCCCCACACTCCATCATGAAAGATCCTATTGTGTGCTTGCGGCTGCCGATAGGACGGAGAGGAGGGAAGCCGGCAGCACTGCGGGGGTGGGGGGCACACAGGGGGGCCTGAGCAGCAGGGGGAAATGTATGGTGCACAGGGAGGGTGGTGGGTGTGCTGGGAGGCAATTACTGGAACTGATCCCCTGTATGGCTCCTTTTGCAGCAGCTGAAAGCCAGCGGGAGGGAGAGGAGAAGAATCCAGCTTTCAGCTGCTGCAGAGAGAGTCATACAGGGGATCAGTTCCAGTAATCCCTCCCCCCTGTGCTGATCAACTTCCCTGTCCTCATCCATTCATCCAGCTGCCTGGCCCCCCCTGCTGTCCTGAGCCCCGTACAGGAGGACTGGCGGTACCCCCCCCTTATCCACAGCCCTGATCACACACATTACACTTGTTGGGCGCACAGTCACAGGGACCCCTTAATTGTCCTTAGATGTTAACCCCTTCCCAGCCAGTGTCATTAGTACAGTGACAAGGTACAGTATTATCACTGATCACTGTATTAGTGTCACTATGGATGTCAGTGCCCCTCCCACTCAGTGTCAACTAGCGCCAGATTGCCCACCGCACTATTACAGCCCCACTATGTCACTGATCGCCACCATTACCGGTAAGGCATCACAGCTGCATAAATTCCAGAGATCTGTTAGGATCTCTATCCTTAATAAATAGCCTCTATCTTTATTAAGAAAAAAATCTTATGGCCTTCAAAGGCAAGGGAATAAAGTTACAGTGTTTCAGAGAGTTCCTTTAAGTACCCACTTGAGCTCCGGAAAGGTTTTATCCCCTTCATGACCAGGCCATTTTTTTTCTTTTCAGCACTGTGCTACTTTACCCAGTAATTGCACGGTCATGCAACACTGTACACAAATGAAAAGTATACTAGTCTTCACTCGGGACAACCTACAGTTCTTCGGTTCCCTTCCACCCGACACTGCCTGACTGTTCCCAGGCTCTGAGATACTTATCGGTTGCCTTGGTCACCATGCCCAGCCTATTGCCAGAGGATTGGCCAATGTCCCTCAAGCATGCAGGTCTCAGCCTCCTCCTTTCCTCCATCCCTCCTCCAGGAAGCTGTCAGGTTTGGGAGAACTCAAGAAGTTCCGACCTTCAGAACCTCCCTAGCCTGTCTTGAGGTGAACTCCTACCTTACTCACAGGCTGACTCATCTCAGGCTGCTACTCAGCCTCTGTAAAAAAAATAATTACAGAGACTGAGTAGCTGATTGTCCCAAATGAAGACTAGTTGGGTCTTGCACATGACCACCCTCTCCCCTTATCTGGCCCATGGGTGTAGGAGTACTCACACTGTCTTTCTTTGTTGATCTCTGGGGCTGATGAAGGTGGTAATTAAACTCACTTGGTGCTTTATCTGCATTAAATCAGCCCCAGAACCTGTGTCATTAATATGTGTTCGGGTTTAAAGGGATGAGGTGGGAACCTTACCTGAGGCCAGCCAGGGAGCCTACCTACAGGCAGGATGCCAGAAAGGAAGAATCTCCTCTGTCCCATCATCTACTAGGGAGGACAACCTGTGAAGCAAGGAAGTTGCCTGCCCAGTGTAAGGCCTGAAGGTAACCACCAACCAACCAAGCTAGCAGAGAAAGACAGTGTGAGTATTCCTACACCCATGGGCCAGAGAAGGGGAGAGGGCGGTAAGGTGCAAGACCCAACTAGTCTTCATTCGGGACAACCTACAGTTCTTGGGTCCCCTTCCACTGGACACTGCCTGACTGTTCCCAGGCTCTGAGATACTTAACGGTTGCCTTGGTCACCATGCCCAGCCTATTGCCTGAGGATTGGCCAAGGTCCCTCAAGCATGCAGGTCTCAGCCTCCTCCTCTCCTCCATCCCTCCTCCAGCTGTCAGGTTTCTCAAGAAGCTCCGACCTTCAGAACCTCCCTAGCCTGTCCTGAGGTGAACTCCTACCTCACTCACAGGCTGACTCATCCCAGGCTGCTACTCAGCCTCTGTAAAAAATAATTATCTATCAAACTCGAAGGGTGTTACACTTGTCTGTGAGTTAAAAAACAAAGGGGGGCAGAGAGCTGAAATGACACACTGCAGAGCATAGTGAGGAGAGTTCTGAGAGCTGATTGGTGGGAAAGGACATGCTTCCTTGACACAGCTCATAGGAACAAAGCTGAGGCTGTCAGTCTGCTGAAGGTCCCTTCCCGTCATCATTTTTCTCTTGGAGTCAGAAATATTTGTCAGAAGTGATTCATACTGATAACAGAGGAAGGAGGAAACAAACAGAAATGACACTTAGAGTTCTGGACTGAGACAAGTACACACTATACAACAGGGGTCTCCAAACCTTCTAAGCAATGGGCCAGTTTACTGTCCTTCAAACTTTAGGGGGGCCAGAATGTAGCCAGTGGGGGCAGAAATGTCCTGGTATCAGTGGGAGTAAATACTGTTCCCTTTTTTGTATTAGATGGAGGAATCATGTCTCATGATTGGTGTCAGTGGGAGGAATAGTGTCCCATCATTGGTGTCAGTGGGAGAAATAGTGTCTTGTCATTGGTGTCAGTGGGAGGAATAGTGTCCCATCATTGGTGTCAGTGGGAGGAATAGTGTCCCATCATTGGTATCAGTGAGAGGAATAGTGTCCCATCATTGGTGTCAGTGGGAGGAATAGTGTCCCGTCATTGGTGTCAGTGGGAGGAATAGTGCCCCATCATTGGTGTCAGTGGGAGGAATAGTGCCCCATCATTGGTATCAGTGGAAGGAATAGTGCCCCATCATTGGTGTCAGTGGAAGGAATAGTGCCCCATCATTGGTGTCAGTGGGAGGAATAGTGCCCCATCATTGGTGTCAGTGGGAGGAATAGTGTCCCATCATTGGTATCAGTGGAAGGAATAGTGCCCCATCAT